CTCAAGTTAAGCATCACTTATCAATAGTGGTACTTGTTAGAGCAGGGGTGGGGAACCTTTTTCAATTTATACAACATCCTCCGAGGGCCGTACAATTTATTATTGGAAGATTGTTTTTAAATGTTGAAGTTAAAAGCATCCATCTGGTGCACTTTGAGAGCAACATGAAGAGATCTATGGATACATCTCTCAACACCCATATGAAACAGAACTGTAAGCAGATTTTCTTTTTCTTTATGGATATTTTACAAATCACTCCTTTCAAACTGTATTCTTGTTTATTAATAACAACTTTTTTTTACTGTCATATAGTATTTTATACCTGTTTACTTTATTCTGTTATTTTTTTATAACTATAATGATAATATAAAGATGTGCCTTTACTTCACTGGTTGTAGAAAAAGCTTCTTATATTCGTTAGCATAGCTAGCTAACCAGATGCTAATAACAACAAAGTTATTGACTGTATGATCAGTATAACAGATGCCACTGGGCTTTCAACTAAAGACACAGACACGCAAAAACTGCGGCATGTACACGGCTCCTTATGGGCACTGCAATTTCTGAAGTGCCGGAGCGGCGTTCTGGGGCTCTCTGTCAGCCCTGTCAGACGAGACATATACCACGTGATGACACGTTAGGCTCGTGTTGTGTTCAAGGACCCTGAACTTGGTCAGGAAAAACAGGCACTCGCTTGTTTAATTCTTTTGCGGTCTAGATTTCTTTAATTTTTTCTTTTTTGCATGTGTTTATAAATTACCTCGAGGGCCGTAACAAATGGTCTCGCGGTCCATATACGGCCCGGAGGCCGGAGGTTCCCCACCCCTGTTTTAACCATTAACATAATGATCATGCAACCAAATAATCTTTGAGTAGTGTGCCCATGTTGAGCTGTGAGGAAGAGGAAGGTCACCTCAGGCCGTTCTGCACCACTCTGTTCCTGCAGCTCCTCCAGCAGGAGCAAGCGTGGTTACACTCAAAGAGCACGGGGGGCTCCCTCTGACAGAAGTCCAGGGGTAGTCGACCCTCCTACAAATACACCAGGAGACATGTTACACACTGCTACCAGGAACACACACGTGTCACCGTGCTTTTAAAGTTGTTTTTAAAATAAAATCAAACTTCAATTAAAGCTGTGTGCGTGTGCGTGCGTGCGTGCGTGTCTACTTACTCCATCATACCAGCAGCGCAGACTGAGCTGCCCACACATGCAGCTGCTGGAGGAGCAGTCTTCTGTGCAGCTGCAGTGCTGAAGGACACGGACATCAGTGAGTTATCACGTATTATGACATTTAGAAGTTTTTTTTCTCTACATTGCTGGACTGTTTTTGAAGTCATTTCCTGGACATGTGAGAAGAAAATAACAAATAGAACCAGCAGGCCGGTCAGTGTTGTTCTCACTTCACTTGGACAGCACAGTTAAATCTGATATTGGATGTTTGGTGAACAGCAGTTTCTTCTGCTTGTGAATTTCATTAATTCCATCAACTCTCTGGATTTTAAAAAAGGCTTCTGGCGATCTCGCACGGGAGACCTGGTAACACTCACACAGCAACACTCTGACGTTAATGTGACCAAGACTGCTTATATTACATATTTTTCTCACTGTCAACAAATCCCATGATAAGACCAAAGGAGATGTATCAGGCTTTGAAACACACACACAATACCTGTTAGGAGATACATTTAGTATTGACTTGGATCTGCTCTTGGGATGTTTTGACAATAAAAAAAGATAGAATATTACTGATTTATTCTTAAAATAAACAGAGTTAGAGCTCACCTGTAGATGAGTGATGTCTCGGTCTATGTTCAGGGCGGAGGTCACACAGCTGTCAGGGATGTACTTAAAGTTTTCCGGGCTCGGCTCGCTGTCCACATTATTAACACAGGCAATAGGAACTGCCTCATACCCTCGTGAAATGTCCCTGAGAGAAGGAAAACGTTTTTTTTTTAGGGTTGTCAAGTTAACGGGTTAATAACGCGTTAATAAAGTGTGAACGCCAAATAAAATAACGCCACTAATTATTTTAACGTGCGATTAACGCATGTGTATTTGTCCTCAGCCCCACCCCGTAGTTTCAGAGCCCAAAGACTTGACGTTGTTGTTGTTAGTTGGATGGTGGGAGATTCTAGTGCGAGATATGGATACAAAAAAAAGGTGTTTTAAACAGCAAGCCAAGCACACAGCTGATGCTGACAGCCCTGCTCCTGCCGCTCGCTTGCGTTTTAAAGTTTACCGGGGTGACGCCTGGACAACAACAGCGATAGCTAAATGGGTGGCTACAGCTTAACATTGTGGAGGACGAGGGGCTGCCTTCGATCATTCGGATCGCATCCAACTTGTCGACTGCACATCACAGCGCATTATTTTGACCCACAGTGGGAACTTCAGTCTCATGCTTTGACTGTTATGAAGACAGAGGGGCGGCATTTCGCCGACAACTGTAAACAGGCTTGTCTGTTTGAGCAACTGGCTCAGTGCAAATAAGTACACAGGGTTGGGAGAGAGTGTAAGAGAGAGAGAGAGAGAGGTTCCAGGCAGTGTTCATTTTGGCAGCTGTTTTTTATTTAGTCTTAAGACGAAAATGGTTATTAGTTTTAGACACATTTTAGTCATTCCTATCCTTCG